CAATCATTCAATTAAAATCAAAGATACATTTTATTGACCATAACTATTAAATTATAGTATATGAAAACGCAACAAAAAGAAAAGCATGAAGCACATACTAAACTCCATTGTTTCAATAATAAGATCATGTTTCAATCATTCAATTAAAATCAAAGATACATTTTATTGACCATAACTATTAAATTATAGTATATGAAAACGCAACAAAAAGAAAAGCATGAAGCACATACTAAACTCCATTGTTTCAATAATAAGATCATGTTTCAATCATGAATATATCACCGTAAATGAAAGAAAGAAAATATGTTAGTAGAAAGATAGCAAAGCGGAAATAAAAAAAAATACTTAGGCCTATGATAAACCGATTGACGAAATAATTATAATTACAGTATATAGGACCTAGGCATATTAAATTTTGCGTTTTCGCAACTCTTTCGGTGCTCCATATATTTGTTTGAAATAAACCGCGACCGAAATGAGGCGCGACCGAAACGAAGCGCGACCGAAATGATCGGCTACCGCGGATCCGGGTGGTGGGGGGTTTCGGACGAATCCCCTCTGTAAATAAAATACTACTGCATCCTGGCTTACAATGCATGCTAACCGAGTCTAGACAGGACTCCATAGGTTGGCAGATCGGAGGAACTGGTCTCAGCCCAGCCTCTAATTAAATAAAATTGAAAAACCCTGTTTTTTACGGAAGCACCTAAGTGTCATTCGACTTGACGACTTGTCAAGAGTTATGTTGTCAAAACGACATATATACATATCATGTCGACATGTCGAGATCAACTATCTTGCCAACACGATATACAATTTGTATTTAGTCGACTTGTCAAAATAATCTATCTCGGCATGACAACATAACATTTTTACTATGTCGACTTGGCAAGATAAATTATGTCGCCATGACAACATAACATTTTTACTATGTCGACTTGACAAGATAAACTATCTCGCCATGACAACGTACAATTTTTATTTTGTCGACTTGTCAAGATTATCTAAAATCTATCTCGCCATGACAACATAACATTTTTACTATGTCGACTTGACAAGATAACCTATCTCGCCATGACAGCATACAATTTGTATTATGTCGACTTGTCAAGATAATCTATCTCGCCATGACAGCATACAATTTTTATTATGTCGACTTGTGAAGATAATCTATCTCGCCATGACAACATACAATTTGTATTATGTCGACTTGTCAAGATAATCTAACTTGCCATGACAACATACAATTTGTATTATGTCGACTTGTCAAGATAATCTATCTCGCCATGACAACATACAATTTTTATTATGTCAACTTGTCAAGATAATCTATCTCGCCATGACAACATACAATTTTTATTATGTCGACATGTCAAGATAACCTATTTCGCCATGACAACATAACATTTTTAGTATGTCGTCTTGGCAAGATAATTGATCTCGACATGTCGACATAATATGTATATTATGTCGACTTGACAACATAAATTATCTTGACAAGTTGTCAAGTCGAATGGCACTTAGGTGCTTCCGTAGTTTTTGGTTCGACGTCCTAATACGAAAGTTCTTTTGTGGGATGGGGGGTTTCGGACGAACCCCTCTGTAAATAAAATACTACTGCATCCTGCCTTACAAAATGCATGGCAACCTACCCAGGTCCCAGACCCCAGGAGGGTCAGTGAATTGCTCCGAAGGACCTTTGGTCCGAAGGGTCGTTGGTCCGAAGGTCCTTTGGTCCGAAATTGATAGGCCTATATTTTAAATATGGACAAAAAATATAAAACAAGAAAACACATGATTGACCTATATTAGCTAACAGTAACAATAAAAAATTATTGATTGTTGCAAGATGCTCAACTCTGCAACATCCTATGAGCGAACAATTCACTTGACGCGAGGTATAATAAAAACCTTATATAAAGACTTCACGTGAAAAGATAATTACACATTTTTTAGGCTATTTTCACGCAGGTCAAAGTCAACTGGCCCATGTTCCAGCGGCTTAGTTCTTTTATTTTGTGATGTAAATGAGTTAGGCATAAATATGTTTGTCTAAACTCTATTTGTAACTATCATTTTAAAACGTATTTAAGACTTTTTGTACATGTAGGACCTAATTTTTGTTTATTACACAGTAGTTGCGAAACCCGATTTATGTATTAAAAGTATATATTATATAAAATTAATTAGCTTTTTTTTTCTTTTTTTATTTACCTTCTTTTTTTATATGTTGTGCTTTTTGATTTCAATTTATTAATTTTAGAGTAGTGTTTCTTTTTTATTCCTGTTTCTCTTTCGGTTTGGAGAGCCAATTGCCAGTATTTTAGTATACTTTTGGTTATCCTGTCTTCCCGAGTTTGAAACTGTTTTGTGTGTTTAAATTAGACAAAATAAATGAAATGAAATGAAATAAAGCTATATA